CATTACGCGGCTGTCCTATTGCTTAAACCGAAACAGACGTCTGCTTCGTGGCAAAATTAGGCAAAACAAATCACACTTATTCCGTTCTGTATTATTCTATGAACCAGATTTACGATGTGTGAACGTAATGATGATGACAGATGACGCTTTTACTAAACGTTTTACCCCTAAATACGTAAAAATGTTTGGGCTCAAAGAAAAAGTGAATTTTAATGTTGATCAATAATCTTACATAAATTTTGCTCCTTAAATGTCTGCATCATTTACAAGTTAAAGGTGACAGTAGATGCCTTTTTTTTTTTTTTTTTTTNTCCCATTAAAGTATAAATTCTACAAATAAATAATACTCAACAATATTTAAAATAAAATGAGCCAAGAACGTTTATCGATAAAACCTGATAACATTGAAATCTTTTGTACAGCACTAAAGCCGCCATGTTTTGTGGCCAGATGACGTCACAGTGGCACGAAATTTTGGTTGACGTTTCATTTCCATAGGTTTCCTACTTCATTGGTTTGTCTTTGTAACGGACTCTGTTAGTTTTGCCATATTTGTTTTAAGTATTTAAATAGTAGTCCGTTAAAATACGATTCCAACTAAATAATACAAGACGATGACCGAGCTTTGCTCTGTTTTTTTTTTTTTTTTATATGAAAAAGACACAAATAATATAAATAAACAATTAATTTTCTTGGTCTAACCTTAAACCAAGCACTCATTGGCTTCGGGTGGCTTAACAACGCCATCTGCTGAAATAGCTTAATAGTATTATTATTCACCAATAGACGTCGGGAAGAGTCATAAAGTTGATTATCGATAAAGTTGATTATTGAAAATACGAATAAAACAACATTTTCTGAAAATAATTCGTAGCTAGATCGATTTATCGCCCCCGAAATCCTCTGTATACTAAATTTTATAAAAACCGTTGGAGCCGTTTCCGAGATTCAGATTATATATATACAAGAATTGCTCGTTTAAAGGTATAAGATAGAATAGTTATTAGAGAACTTCACTTGATGGTATTTTAATTTGGTGTATCAATTGGAATTCTCATTAAAATTCGCCAGATTTAATAACATATTATGTAGATATCAACTTAAATTAAAACCTGAATAATAATAGCTTAAATCTAAAGTTTTAAACTACGTTGTAATGAGAACAGTAGGTTTAGGTAATAAATTTAATGTTCACCGTTCCTTGATACGTGCGTAAATGATAAAATTAATCAGACGTGCTCCTGAATGATACTCCTGAATTATTAATTGGAAGATCCCGATAAATACATAGAAGAGACTTTTTATTGATTATAGGAGTGAATAAACTAATGGACCATCTTATGTTAAGTGGTACCGGAGCCCGTAGATATCACAACGTGAATGCTGTCACTGACTTTAAGGCATTCTGTCAAAGTCTTAATTGCATAGTTTAATATGTTTTCGGCTTTGTCTTTAAACTTCAATGTATAGCATACTTCGCTAAAGAGACTGATCATTATACTTATTATTTTGTAATTTAGTCATTATTTATGACTTATAAATGATTAAACATACAATGATTATACAATGATAAGTGGTTTTAGGTACTGTATCTTTGTATCGGTTTCAATCAAAGCCCTAGTCAGTATAAATATATAATCAATTATTGGTTATTGAAGCTCTACCACTAAAATCTACTTATTACTGTTATTATTTCGTAATTTTCTTTTGTTTTTATTAAATTTTGTTACTCGCTTAATGTAATGTATGTATGTTGAGATTGCCTACATTTTTTGTTTTAATTAACAGTCAATTCTGTTCGTATTCTTACGAGAAAACAAATATTTTTCATTAAGTATCTGCATAGTTTTTTTTTTGTTTATATACGTATAGCACAATCAAAAATACTAGTCTGGGATCATATAAGGGAAAACGCTTGTGCGTTCAATGTCTTAAAAACACAAACATTAGATACTACGTTCGATGCTTACAACATGTACACACAGTTAGTCTTACAATAATATTAATACGGAACCCAGATAAAAAAGAATTGAGCTATCCGCTACTATATAAAAGTTTTGAAATCGGTTTTAAAAGAGCAACCGTAGCGGGTAGCTCTCAGGAAATGCAGTGAAGCTACTGAGGCAAGCCGGCTCTTTTTGTGAGTTAACTTTATATAACCTTTGATTCTACGTCTCGGAATTTCGCTACGTTTATTTTATTTTTTAAAAATATTAGTACTATTCAAAGCCTGCAGAATCATTACTTTTTATGTGGATCTAAATAGTTATATTAAAAGAGGTATATATTTGTAAGAAAAGTTGATGAGTAGGATCAATCGATTTTTTTAAATATACTAATCTCGCAGATTGTTTTTTTTTTAATTCATTAAGCGTCGTAATATTACGGCCTTCCTGTGTCTTAGTGGTGGTCTAGTAGCACATTAAGATCAAGGCGCGACTGCCGCCACCATCTTGGAAGATGAAGTCTACGTGTCAATAGTATAGTATTATCTCGTCGATTACGACAAAGAGATCGATGAGCGAACTAGCCCATAGACACAGCCCACTGAGTTTCTCGTGGATCGGATTCTCGTCGGATCTTCTCAGTGGGTCGCGTTTCCGATCCGGTGGTAGATTCTGCGAAGCACTTGCCACGTACCACCGGGTTTGGAATGAGCAGGCTTTGCCACGTTCCATCCGGCTATGGAATGAGCTCCCCTCCACGGTGTTTCCTGAGCGCTATGACATGTTCTTCTTTAAAAGGAGCTTGTGGAGAGTATTAAGCGGTAGGCAGCGGCTTGGCTCTGCCCCTGGCATTGCCGAAGTCCATGGGCGACGGTAACCACTCACCATCTGGTGGGCCGTCTGCTCGTCTGCCTACAAGGGCAATAAAAAAAACGGCTCTTGCTAGAGTTAGTGTAAGCAAATTCTCGCAGGTTGAGCCCGTGAGCTCGTCTGCCCGTCCGAGCGTAGCTAGAATCGCCTCTTAAGCTATCAGCGAATTGGTAGGAAAGAAACAAAAAAAAGCATTAGATTGGCTATTGGAATTAATCACTGCATCGCAAATAAAGTTGATAGGACTCTAATACCAGCTAGCGTGGGCTTTCTATACCACATACAAATGGTAGAACCAGTTTCTGCGCAATTTCAATGCAATTGCAAATCGAAAAATTACAATCTAATTTTTTTACTTCTCTGTGATATACCTGCAATCCTATTTTCTTTAACATCCCATTCCATATTGTAATTTGATAATGAACACGAAAAGATATGTGAAATAACGCAAAATCGAAAGAAGTTTTTAAAATAATATACGTGATCCAAATTTAAAATAATCAAAAAGTTGAAAAAAGGAAAAGTTTTTATGTAACAGTATTTCTGGCCAGACTATATTATATAGTCCACAGCGGTAGTAAATTATTATTCTAGTATTAATCATAGCTTTCTTTGTCATATTTGTAAGACACTTTGTTAATTATTTTCAGTAAAAAGGTCCCGTAATAGCTGTTTGACGAACTGACGTCGTAAAAGTCGTTTCAACAAAGGAAAATTAATGATGGTCGGATATTTGATTCGAATAATAGAAATTGAACTTAGGCAAAATTAAAAAAATTGCTGATTACATTACGTTATAAATTGATACTCTTATTATAAACGAATCGTTGTGTGTAGTGATTAATAATATAATAATAATAATGTTTTTATTAGAAGTAACCATGACTCCTATAAATTGTTAATAAGACTTAGACCTATGTTAGTAGTTATATTTACATCACAATGAATTACTGTCGTAACATCCCATGAGAGATGGCACCACAGCGACCCATGTATACACAGTCCAGCCTGCTTGCGATCATGCTCAGGATACTGTTGGAGCTGGCCCTCACTCTGCTTACCAGAGATGCATACCTCTTACGCATGGTAGCGTAAAAACAATCTATGTGCGCGTCCGCAAACATCCCTGATGCGCTACAAAAGCGGGGCAGCACCACCAGCATCCTAAGCGCGTTATTATAATGATTTTCATAATTAGCACCACCGGATCCAGTTTCAATTCCAGATTCATCTCATCAGTGTATTTATTTTGAGACAAGCTATTTTAGTTACTTATCATATCGCACATGCGGTTGCTATAAAGTCACTTATGTAATTTTCGTTAACAATGAACTGAATATGAGAAAATACACTTTTTTATAGTTATTGGTGAGACGAACGAGATGTTTGCTTTTACTGATGAAGTTTAAAGTTGTAGTTTAAATATTATCATTTTATTTCTATAGCCTAACAGAACTAGATAAGATCAAATCAAATCTAATCAAATAAAAAAAAAATTCGACATAAATGGAAGTACATACATACTTGTTGAACGTCAAAAAAAACTACCGCCAATTCAAAAAAACTAGCCTCCCTCCCGAGAAGATCTGGCAAGAAACTCAGCGGGCTCGTCTTTTTTTTTTAATATTAGTTTTTTTTAAATATTCATTATTATAACGTAACAATTATTGCTATATTGAAATGCCCGGAGCGAGCAACTCATTCCCACTTTGTGCAATCTTCTAGACAATCATTAACTTTATAATAAGCTATATTGTACAGATGTTCTTTAATACATAGTTTTCTTAAACCTATGTATATGTAGGTTCTGAACATCTTGTGGGATTTTGTTGTACAGGCGCACAGACAAACACCCGAATGAATTTCGTATCTTATGTAACCTACTCATCGGCACAACAAGCTTGTGTTTGTTCCTAGTATTTCTATTATGTATGTCAGACTTTTTAGGAAACTCCTCAATACGTTTATGAACATACATAAAATTTTCAAAAATGTACTGTATGTGTACTGTGTACTGTGATGTTGAATTTTCCAACATTTCTCCTGAAAAATTACATAATTTGCATAAGTGACGTAATTGCACCGTATATGCAATATATTGTTTGTTAAAAACTTACATGTTCAATTTTATTTTCAATAAACTTTGCACACGCTATTCATGTCTAATAAAATGTTTATTTCCAGGAAAAAATGATACTACTGAATGTATTCGCAGTCGTCCTTCCGTGTGTGCTGGCGTCGAGGACGCGCGGCTCCTCGGGGACTTTAGTTGACTTCACCGACCCAAAGGTTCCGTATTTAAATGTAGCTTGGTATCGAAATAGCAGCGAAAATGAATTTCTTGGAAAAATTGTGTTGTAGGAATACACAATTTTTATCGTAAAAGAGAAAACGTTGCTTAAGACGGCTAGTACCCAAAAAGCAAACATTACCCTTTGAAATGATAGCTTTTATTGATTTACGAGCCACAACGTTAAATGGTCACTAGAACCCATTGAATTCCGCCTTAAAACATGAGATCAAAGTCTCAATTGTTTTTTATAATATACCGACACTCAAAATACTAGTAGTGCTGACATTCAAACCGGAACGAATAAAATGACAATAGGTAGGCTCGTGCGTAGATCAGCACTTCAACGGCTTTTAATCGTAAAGGCATTTTTTTTTTTTAATATGTAAACTGGTCGAAACCTCTTTAACTTTTAATACTCGTAACAGCGTATGAATAGTACATCCCTTAAGTTCCCGAACGTTCTAAGCAAGGACGTCAGTATTCAGTTACACCATTATGTGTGCATTTACAAATTACTTGCAATAATTACCTCAAAAAACATAGATTTCTTAATAGAAGCGATATTTTTGAATTTATTTAACAGTTTTTAACATGGCCACCATCGTTAATTGTTTTTTTTTATTGCTTAGATGAGTGGACGAACTCACGGACCACCTGGTGTTAAGTGGTTACCGGAGCCCATAGACATCTACAACGTAAATGCCGCCATCCACCTTGAGATATGAGTTCTAAGGTCTCAGTATAGTTACAACGGCTGCCCCACCCTTCAAACCGAAACGCATTACTGCTTCACGGCAGAAATAGGCAGGGTGGTGGTACCTACCCGTGCGGACTCACGAGACATCCTACCACCACTAGGAAACAACAAGAAATTTTTTGGGAAACAAGATCACGATAGTGCTACTTCTGCCATATCACGAAGAAATAACAGTGCGTTGAGAACCTGATAGTCTACAAGTTTCTAATCCACGGCCAGTGTATTTTCATGTAAAATCTTCCGGTTTGAATGCTTAAACTATATTATAGGTCCAGGGACATTTAGATGCTCTAGTACGGATGGCGCAGTCGTGCGTGATAAAGGTTCGGGCAACTCCGAAAGACGTGAGGGCTTACTTTACAAACTCCTCGCCCGTTTCAAGATCCGGACAGTGCTTCGCTACCTGCATGCTCGAACAAAGTGACATAATAAATCACGGAAAGGTATGAATCGGAGATTATCGAAAACACTACTTTAATGTTTTTTTTTTATTGCTTAGATGGGTGGACGAGCTCACAGCCCACCTGGTGTTAAGTGGTTCCTGTAGCCCATAGACATCCACAACGTAAATGCGCCACCCACCTTGAGATACAAGTTCTAAGGTCTCAAGTATAGTTACAACGGCTGCCCCACCCTTCAAACCGAAACGCATTTTATTACGATTTCACTACTGGTTTCTAATTACTGGTGGTAGGACCTCTTGTGAGTCCGCGCGGGTACCACCACCATGCCTATTTCTGCCGGAAGCAGTAATGCGTTTCGATTTGAAGACTGGGGCAGCCGATGTAGATGTCTATGGGCTCCAGTAACCACTTAACACCAGGTGGGCTGTGAGCTCGTCCACCCATCCAAGCAATAAAAAAAGAGCTCGTCCACACATGTAAGCAATAAAAAAGAAATAAAAAAAAACAGTGCTTAAACATTTCTATTAGCCATTTATCCATTAGAATGAACTAAAAAGCAAAGGAATCCGTTTCCCAAAGTTTTTAATGGTGTATTTGTTTTTACAATGATTTTAATTGCGATAAAACTTATTCTTAATCATAAAAAGGTACAGGGCAAGGTCTAATACGCTTAAAGTATAATACCGAATACTCAAAGTAATCTGTTATAAAAAAAATATAAATGGACCTAAGGAATAATTGAATTACGTGTGAAAGATCTCTTTATATAATTGAAAAGATAATGTAACTAACTACATAGCATTAAATTAAAAGCTTTTTATATGTTACTTTTTACTTTAAAATGTTTTCGTAAATAGCCATCGCAATTTAGGCTACAAGCAAGTAAGCTTGATTATTTATCCTAACATTATTAGGTTTTTAGAGAACGCTTCTTCTAAATTGTATTTTAGTATTTTCTTCGGGTTTCGAGTGTCGCACACATAATTAAAACAAATTTTACGGTTTAATCTTGCCTTGTCTTGGTGTTATATATTTTCTGACACTGTAATTAACTAGGGATTTCTATTGCTAAAATGAGTCCTTCACAAATTGTTGAAATTCAAGAAATTACAAAGCGAGTGGGTATTAAAAAAAATTACATGTGTGCAATTCACACGTGGTAGAAGTGAAACCTTCCAAAATTAAAATACAATTATCCTAAACGTCTTAAGTATATGTAAAATTTTGTCATTAGTAAATAATTGTAAGGTAGCGCCCTCTGTGAATTGATATTTTAATTTCACGTATAACCCTAAATTAAAATTCACTACAAGAACTTTCATACACACGTTAGTATTAAAAAATCTCACAGATGGCGCTGTATTAAATAGTATGTATATTTCTGTCTCATTCTTTGCTGGCTTCATCCTACACATTTTTGTATTTGTGTCTCTTACCTGTCGTTTTTTCCGTTGCATCCGGTTTGAAATCACAACGATTCTAAAGAAGTTTTCACTTCAATAATATTGGACAGATAGAATAGCAGAGTAGTGGTAGGACAGCATTTATACAATACACGTGACCCTTCGATTCTCAAGATAGCTGCTTCATGCTTTTATGACCATAGGCTCCGCGCTAACACCAAGTGACACGTGAGTTCACCAACACGTCTAAAGCAAGACTAGTTATTAATCTAAACAATTTCTAAATAATTAGGTCAACAGAGACCTTCTGGTACACCTGGCTGGTTTGGTGAACGGCAAGAATTCACGTGTTGTACGTAAGCTGAACAGTGTCTCCCGTCTCTGCTTGGACAGTATTAGCGGCATGACGGACAGATGTCAATTAGCTTCGACGTACAATGACTGTCTGAATGAAAACATGATAGAGTTCGCTTTTCCCCTCGACATTGCAGAGGAAGCCGTCAGGAAAATGCCGTTTCATCTAATACAGCCTAAGTGAGTAAGTTCTTCTCTGTTGTTTTAGCTGACTTCGATGCTGTTAGGATGCATTGAAAGCCCACAATGTATAACCATGCTGCGTATTTCTGCAGTGAGACTGTCATGCATTGCTGTCTGAAGGGAACAAGACACAATACAAATACGAATTCTACCTTATATCTCCAGAAAGGTGTCGAGGCGGTGATCTTTTTGAGAACCCACTCTTTTGGAGAAACACGAGTGGGCATGTTAACCCATCTAAGAAATAGAAAAAGATGTCCTTCTGTATTGTTTTAACGTAATCTGGCAGAACTAAACATACCAAATGCCGGTATCAGACTAAGATTATATTGTTATAGAACATTTAGACCACGAATGCTTTATTTATAAAGATATTGCCTCTGTCTTTAATTATGGTCACCGACCGCTTCATCGACAATGGGTTTCTTTTTGTTATACATATTAAATATAGTTGTATCCAATACTCTATCAAGGATATTCGTCATGTATACTATGACATAAAATACTGGTATTACATCTTCGAAACTGTGACCTCGTCGTGCGTGAGAGAAATAAATAGTTGCTTTTTAAGATATTATTGACATAAAAATTCTTCTACTCATATCTGTCAGAAAAATATTTATAACTAATAACACCATGCACCCCACGGTTTTTCTACAATAAAATATATTTTACACTATTTTCATTTTAAATTTATTAAAATTTATTTTCTATTTTTTAGTTGAATATTATATAAAGCGTGTTTTTTAGTTTTTTAAACTATTATTTATTTTTAATTTTTTAATTAAATTTTCTATAAAAGCGTATTTTTAAAACTATTAGGTACTTTAACATCAATTCCTGCCTTATCGACTATAGATAAAAATTACATAAATTGGCAAAAATCTTATTTTGCAAATTGAATAATGGACTAATCTTATCAAATTAGTGTATTGTCATAGGTCCTCGATAAATCTACAATGTATGAATGAAATCTGGCCATTGAACGTGGGTCAAAATCGCCTCTAATTAAAGGAGTCAGTTACAAACATACCTACAAGTGAAGCTAATATAGCGTGTAAAAATATATTTTGTTTTTTCAGTTTGCCGCAAGAAATGAAGCATCCGAACTATTGAAGTCAATAAATTAGTGAAGATCTGTAATTTTTATTCTATTGTAATTTTTATTTTATTCTATCCGATTATTATTCTATCCTGATCTGTAATTAATATTATTTTTAGTTTAGTGATCGTGGGTGAATTTTGTGTGCAAATAAAATTTATGTACCTTTGTAAAAATGTATTTTTGTAGCAAAAAACAGAGCTTTATTTTACAAGCTTTAATAGGGTATATGAAAAAACGTGCAGCACACGTAGAGTCGTCCTGGCTTATAGTATTAGAAGCCCAGTGTACCCATATCGTCGGTGTTCAAATCCCTTACCAATTTTTCTAAGAACACACGTGCTTTATTTATCTCAAGGTAGGTGGCGCATTTACGTTGTAGATCTCTATCGGCTCCAGTAACCACTTAACACCAAATGGGCTGTGAGCTCGTTCACCCATCTAAGCAATAAAAAAAATCCTGTCTATTTAATTAACTCGCCTTCATGGAGTTTTCTTAACGGCAAGTCCGTCTTCGAAGAAGTATTGAAAAGAGTTCTTGTTTGACATTACTGATGTCCATGCATTGATGAACACTTATTTTTATTACCCATGTAAGTAGACGAGCATATGAGCATCCCCTGATGGTGAGTGGTTACCGTCGCTCATGGACGTCAACAATGGTAGGGTATAGCCAGGCCGCAGCCTACCGTTTAGTACTCTCCACAAGCCTCGTTAGCTTTAGATTTCACATTAGCATTAGCTTTCACAGTTTCTATTAAATGAGCTCTAAGCTTGACTCTTGGTTGATTTAACCGTGACCGCGAAAACTGTAAAGTATTCAAAACGTCAGAAATAATAAAATGAAAATAATAATAAAAACGATATTAAATCATAAAAGTACTTTCAATAAAAAATACATTGTTATTTAAAAAAAAACACTTTAAACCCAAGTCAAAGAGATTTAGATTTAGAAGAATTTAAAATTGATCACCAATATAAAGATATGTTCAGTTTCACTTTCTCTGAAATTAGTCTAAATACCAGTTATCGCGCTGAGAGTAATATACGATGAAGTATCTTTAATTTTTAGAGATTCTAGAACGTCCGACTACCTACCAGAAAATCAGTTGGGTTTTCTCAAAAAACAACGTAGCGAACTAAGGGCCTTCAAATTCTAAGTAAACAACCAAATACTCCATCATCTAGCAATAACTGTAAGTTTGCGTAACCTTGATTGTAAGTGTCAACCAACACATTGATCAAATAATATGATTGAGAGGTCTCTCTGACCCAGAAGGTTTATCTGTGGAGATACTTCAATCGACTGTGCGGGGAAGGTTAAACATGACAACGTTCATCCAATGACCGAAATTCGATCGTAAAGTCTACAACTCAAGACTTAGATTCGATTTATGTTGTTTTGTTTGTTATTATTGAAAAAACAAAAGTGTAAAAAAAGCAATACGAAAAGGAACGATTACTTAAAGAACATAGAAAAATATGGTATATATGTAAATGCTTAGTCTTCATCTAAAGTCCTTTGTTTGCCTTCTTATGTATTATATAAAAAGGCAAAGAATGTGGTGACAAAGAATAATGTGATGTAATAAAACCGTAATATTACCAGAAAATAGATTTGAAAGTTGAACATGTGTTTAAATAACAAAGCTAGTTCCAATGACACGTACAATTTAACACGTAACCTTTTATCGGGAACAGCTTTAAAGACATCTATCGGAAGCTATTTAACAACGTCTAATAGCAGACATATAAAGCTCCGATAAAGGATTGTGGAATCAGACAATATTATATAATGTTGCAAAGTAATCTGTAGCGCATATACGTGAAATTCACCAGCTTCAAATCAACGCTGATCTAACCTTCCAAAGACAAATTTCATCGAAATAACTACCCGTGTGACGTTACAGTGAGACTCAAAATCAATAATTTCGAACCGATAGTTTTTGCAGTCCCAAGGTACATGGGTGTGGACCTAATTTCGGAGAAGTCCAAGAGCGAATCCAACCACTCTTCGGCTAGTATGGCACCAGCTACAACCATCAACAAAACGCGCCTTGCTTAATTTTAGAAAAGTTTTATAGCATTGAAGAAAGGCAATATTTTTTTATTGCCCTTGTAGGCAGACGAGCATACGGCCCACCTGATGGCGAATGGTTACCGTCGCCCATGGACTTGAGCAATGCCAGGGGCAGAGCCAAACCGCTGCCTACCGCTTAATACTCTCCACAAGCCTCGTTTGAAGAAGGACATGTCATAGCGCTCGGGAAACACCGTGGAGGGGAGCTCATTCCAAAGCCGGATGGTACGTGGCAAAAAAGACCTCTGGAAACGCACTGTCGATGAACGCAGCGGTTCCAGATAATATGGATGAACTCTGCTCCGATGGCGGGAGGTGCGATGATAAAAAGGAGATGAGGGGATCATCTCAAACAATTCCTCAGAGCAATTTAGGAAACATCTAAAAACAAAATGGCGCTACGAACGACTGGAATGTTCCAAACTAAATTTCCGTCAATACAGCATTACACATGAGTCGACTATTATCAAAGCCGGCAATGTGACTTTTGGACAATTATTGATAAATCAGAAAAACGAATAATTACTTTGTATTCGATTGGCAGCCACAAAACTCTTCTGAACGACATCTTAGATAAATAACAGGTTAAGTATTAACCTTTATTTAATGCAGGTTTTGAACCGTATTCTTTGAAGGAGACGATTATATTCAAATCAATCTGTATTGACATATCAATAACATTTTTTTGTTCAAATGCACAGAATGCCACCTTTGATAATAGACGACTCACATATAAGACGTAGAATAATCTGATGTTATTCCTTCACCGTAAAAGTCGTTCGTGAACACATTTAGATATATTAAGCGTAAGCGACACGTACGTACATCAATGCATTATTATACAAAACAAAATATTCCTGTGGGGTTTATGGAATATGGTAAACTTGAACTCAGGCGGTGGATTGTGAATGGCGTATTCCCTTCACGTAAAGGTTTATGTAAGCGATACCTGGTTTACATATCGATATCGTTTTGCTTAAATCGATATCTGAAAAGTTACTCGATATAATGGTAACAGAACAGAATACTGCTACGCGGAATTTTGAAAGAAAGTACACTTACTTTGCAGTAGTAAACCGATTAAAATAAAACCTTTACTGATCCATCAGTTTGAAACAAAATCATATGTCCTAATATTAATTTTCTAAAGCATCTCTTCATTGTATTTTCATGTAAGCATATCTTCATTGTATTCAGTGTTCCTTTAAAACATCTAAAAAGCCGACTTAACCTAATGGGTGTATGGTCCTAATAAAGAATTAAAAAAATATATCTAAATTTATCTTCTCTTTTTTGTGCTTGTAAATACGCCATAAATAAATTTATAGTGTTTTAAGCTGTGCAGTTTAAATTTTACAACACATATATGTAATATCTGACTAATAGAAGCCATTACAAAGCTACAGAGACAAAAATCGTCAGTGTGCAAGGTTTGAAAATACGCATCATTACGCTATAATTGCTCGAAAAGTATTTACAATCTATTGAATATCCCTGTACTTCTTTTTTCCCCTACCTATTTGCTGGTAGCTTAAGAGGCTACTCAAGCTTCTCGAGGAAGGATAGGTGAGCTCACACGATCAACCCGAGAAAATTTGCTAACACTAGCATGAGCAGTACTTCGCAGAATCTTCCACCGGATTGGAATCGCGACCAACTGAAAAGATCCAGCGAATAACTCAGTAGGGTACTTCAATGGTACTCATATAAAAACGTATTGTGTATAAAACTAGAACAATTTCAATCGAATTAATTTCACTTTCTCGTCTATACGGAATGTACGGAATGAACGAAATGTAATAAATAAAACCCGAGTGATTCGAAATAAAAGTCAATAAAGAATGTTTTTCGCATCGAGAAATTAACTATTGTTTGCAGTGAAAAGGCATCGGATGTCGAACCTAATATTAGTTACCGTCCAAAACAAACGGCCATAAGATGGCAAATCAAACAAACGGTATTGAACGAACTACGCAAACACATACAAACCTTATTTATGTCAGTGTACGTGTTTTGAGCACATAATACGCACGGTTCCGTATCTATCGGGGCGGATATTAACGCTAATGTGTGTGTATTATCACCAGTGACTCTGATCTTCTTGCTGACGTTTTTAGTCATTAGCTAACGCTCTGCTGGAGGCTTTCAACAGAAAATTATTAAGTAAAAGTCTCTGAACATTGAGGAGAACAAAGCAAGAAAGAAGAGGTCGAAAGAAATATTGTACTAAAATAATATCTATCCTACCCTTCATACCAAAAAGTAAATAAACCGATAAAGACACGCACACCATGAAATCATTTAAATATTTCAATTGTGTTTATTTTTAAGAATGATGTTAATTAATTATTTGATGGAGTTTGTTGATGCCTCTCGATTTATATTATGTGCCTAGTTTCCAATGACAATGCGTCGACCGCTTGGCACTTCGTTCTTGATAAATATGAGACGCACAAATTTGAAACTATGACGCGTAATACGACTATAATAATGTTAATGCGATTTCAGGATGCTACGAATTTTTTGGTGGCTCTTATATGACCACCTCCAAAATAAATATTATATGTTTGTGTGTCCTTTTGTCCAGGAGATTCGTCCTAAATGACGGCAAGCACACATATAAAAATATATTATATAATATGTAATTTTTACGTAAGGCTTATCAGCTCTCAGTATCCGTAAATTAAGACCATATTTGAATATGGGTGTACTTTCATACGTCGTTTTTTGTTTATCGTTATCAGCGGCACGGAACTCTAACAAAACAAACGCTCCTCGTACAATCCTTAACTTGAATAGAATTATGTTTGTACGAAGCTGCGTGGGTATTTCATTTCTTTCCTGTATTCACGTCACACATCGCAACAGAAGTCGTTTGTTACATGAAGACCTTTATTCACTTTGGTAGGTATTTTTCTATAACAATAGCTCTTACCTTTCATTTAAAATTAAACGTAAAGGCTAATAAATTCTTTTTTGGCCATTTTTGCCACGATTATTGACGTGACAACGTCTTATTATTCGATGGAGCCGGCTGCACGCACGAAAAAACATGACTCATGCGGCATTACCTCGCTCTGAGGCGTTCCATTTAAGGCTTGAAGTGCAAGCGGGAGCGCGCAACGAACGACAAAGAGGCACAATCGGCCTCCGCGTTCGGCAGCGTTCGACATCTGTCTCTCTCCTACTTGAGTGAGCGATGCATCCGCGTGGACAGCTGCTATACAATAATACATTTAGATGTTTTCGTCAAGTATAAAGTTTAGTTAAAAGCGAGTGTGGTGTCAATTGTTTATAGTAACGATAATTGCGATAATTGAAAAATGAAACCATTCCATCAGTATTTTCTTATGACGTTGTCACGTTCAACCATCGTCAGTAAACCGACTTTACAGGCAACCGATTTTATTGTTGCCTTTCGAAGTTAGCGAAAACAGTTTCAGACATTTCGGTGTCGCGAAATATTTATTGGGTCAAGAGTACCACCAAACTTCACCTACGCAGCGGGGGCGGTAGGCGAGGCATGTTAAAGTCGAAGTTAAAAATGTTCGAGATGATACCGGCATCTCGTTTTTTACCATCGCACCGCCCGCCACCGGAGTAGAGTTCATCCATACTACCTGGAGCCACTGCGGTCATCCACAGTGCGTTTCCAGAGGTCTTTTTTGCCACGTACCATCCGGCTATGGAATGAGCTCCCCTCCACAGTGTTTCCCGAGCGCTATGACATGTCCTTCTTCAAACGAGGTTTGTGGAGAGTATTAAACAGTAGGCAGCGGCTTGGCTCTGCCCCTGGCATTGCTGAAGTCCATGGGCAACGGTAACCACTCACCATAAGGTGGGCCGTCTGCTCGTCTGCCTACAAGGGCAATAAAAAAAAACTGTCACGCAATAACCCAAGTCCACATCCCTACATAACCTGATAATACATAAAACTAAACAGAGGCAGGCACAATCTCGAATCAAATCAATTAAACGTTTCGAATTGTTATACACTGCGTTGATGAACAATTCTATAACGCTTTTGAGCTAAAATTAGAGAAGAGTTTAATAATAGAAAAAGTAAAGGCAATCATGACATTTGAGGACAACCCACTTTGAGAAGGGGGCACGACATGAAAACCCTCTTGTCGTGGCCGCCGGTAATTACATACCCGATCCTGTGGACCGAATGGTAAACAGTCGACATCGCCCTAAACACGTCATTATGGATCCTCCCGATCCATTAACGGTGCCTCAAGCACCGATCACGATCCTCGCCGAACCCGTCGCATGCGACGAAGGGCTCGACGAGTAAATTATCCAACAGACACAGCCCACTGAGTTTCTCGCCGAATCTTCTCAGTGGGTCGCGTTTCCGATCCGGTGGTAGATTCTGCGAAGCACTGCTCTTGCCAGGGCCAGTGTTAGCAACACTCCCGGTTTGCGCCCTATGAGCTCACCTACTAGCTCGGACAATCTAGAATAACCTCTCAAAGTTACCAGAATAGGTAGAAAAAAAAGAGGACAAACAAAGGTCAAGCGTAAGAATTAAAAATATTGGTAACTAAAGATGATTAAAAATTTATGTTTCATTAATCAGCTAGCGTATTCTTTGAAATGGTTTTTCTATCAAAGAAATTAAGAAAAAAAAATCAACTGTCTAAGCCGAAGCTTTCACGACCATGTAACAGAAATAGGGAAAGATTATATAGGGGATTCTCGATAATAATAATATATTCACGATGCTTACAGTTCTTCGTTAATATCGGTACCTATTCGAAGCATTTGAAGTAAAAAATCATTATAACCGTCAATAAAATCCAATAATGTTGCCGAAATATAGTTTATTTAGAATTATATAAATGCATTTATTTTTATACAATTTTCAAGTATCTCATATTTACGAAATATAATATTCATGTATTATTTCAAGTATTCATGATGTGTATATAAATATATATATTACATACATACACCAGGAATACTTTACGTTATAATTTTACAATTTATTAGATTACATAGATATTTTGTACTTTTTTAAAATATGGAGGCTGCATATTGTAAAACACGCTACGCGCGTTGTGCGTTGTAAAAATCAAATAACAAAATAGAAAACACACAATAATCAGAAAAATGTCGAATTTCATTCTGGTAATTAGATTCATGCGAAGCTCATCTTAACAACTATTAATTAAAATGTGACTGAGCATCGAAACACAACAACTACAATAGTGCTGTACACGAATTTTGAAAGCGTATTATTTACATATTCATAATTCAAATCGAATTGAATTTATACATATACTTGGTGTTAGGGGACCGCTTCCGAACAGACGGTAGTACTAATGATACTTTTAATGATGGGACGGAAAAAAATCGATCCTGATTAAAAAAAGATCATATTTTTAAAACGTTTTATTAGCATTATGTACACTCCATCATGTTAGTACAGCTAAATGAAACGATAGTTTCATAAAAAATACGTTACTTTACTTAAAGAAAAACCAGCAATGAAACACAAAATCAAAAACAGCTGATGCTCGGATCAACGAACGCTAATATTTATTCTTTTACACGCACACCGACGCAGCGCGGCGTGGGCACGGCGCCGCGGCGCTGATACCGCGCTCCCCAAAATTAATTTATTTACTATCGTCTGTCTTCGTTTTCGGAAGCGGTCTCCTAACACCTACTATTATACAATTATAGATCACTGATGCTTATAAGTACAAATATATATCTTTTCAACTCTAGCTAAATATTAATTACACACCAACCAATTCCGATAAAATGATGCCCATAAACGATTTTTATTATGATCACTTATAATACGACACAGATTTATAATACACTTAAAATGTGCCTTGAGCACGCTGAAGTTTTTTTTTCATTTCTATCCTTCTATATAGAAGGGTAAAAGGTAATGCAAAATATCAATCAGCAGATACTCTTAAAATCATTTAATTATAACAATAATAACATTTATAATACAGTAACGGCGTCATATTTAGCAGAATAATGTGGAGTTTGTTATCACATGCCAGCCATGAAATGGCCGCCGAAAACTGAAGAGTATGCAGCCGACCTGCTTGAAACTGGTTATTAGTGGCTATCGAAGCAATACCAGGTCACAGCCAAGATATCTATCTACCGTAATGTTTATGGGCTCGTGGTGGCATACTCAAGACTATTCACAATAATTACCCTTCGAGTCTTTATATTAAAATATTTACTTAGAATTATATTACATAATCGGAAATAAACAAATATTATTTATTCATAAGAACAATTTGAGTCTTAAATATACACGAAACTGTTCGGCGAAATGATTACAAAAAACAACTTCAAACAGCTTTACACGCAAGGGCTGGCTTTGGCGCCTGAAGGAGGTCACATAGTAGTGGTCAAGTCAAGAACTTATAATTTAATTTTGATAACAATAGATACAAGTAAAAAGTAGGTATTTTATTAATGTACGTAAGTACTGTATAAATATTAAATATTGAAGGTACTATGTAGTTACATATAATCTGTATGGTGACAAATATATAAATAAAATCATTATGTTCAATTAGCGGCCCACCTAAGTCCTGGAACCAGCTCAGGGGGGCTCATGAACCCCATGATCCCCTCCTGGATTCGCCGTTGTTTACACGTAGCCTTGCGATCGTGAAGTCGAAAACACTAACGGCCGCCGAAGCCTCGCCACTTCACCGAAGAGCCTAGTCACATTAATGCCGCAGTTCTCAAAGTTTACATTTAAAACACATTACACAGTCCGTTCACATTTCCTTTTGTCATAACAGAGTAAGCAGAACGATTATCTTAATACTGTTGTTAAAAGGTTTTCAGTTATCTGGTATATTAAGAACTGAGTGTAAATAATGTTTTCATTATACAGTCAAATCAAATTCGCTCTTCACATAAGGTCGTAAAGTGAGAATTTTTGATTTGTCTTGGTTGAATGGCAGTCCGTCCTATTCGCATCCACTGCCAACCAAACAGACACCAAATTAGAAATCACAAGCATCTTTTGAATTCAAATAATTAGTCGATATCGTTCTGCCTACACTCCGATATGACAAGCGCTCTCACATAACTTTGCACTGTTGTTTCTGATGGTATTTACGTCGTAGCGCCGCTAAGATCTTCATGTAACGTTCCGAGTTTAGTCTCTCGGCGCGCGATTGTCTGGTGGAATGAGTTCGGGAAACCGCAGCGTGGCAGAGAAACCCTCCATCCAAGACCACCATTCGGTATTCTTGAAGGCATAACTCTAACATCTGTTTGATAAGAACAGTGTTTTATAAAACTAATAGCTTCTTTTTTTTACTTTTTAGCTTAGATGGGTGGACGAGCTCGCAGCCCACCTGGTGTTAAGTAGTCACTGGAGCCCATAAACATCTACAACGTAAATGCGCCACCCACGTTGAGATATAAGTTCTAAGGTCTCTCGGTATGGTTAAAACGGATACCGAACCCTTCAAACTGAAACGCATTACTGCTTCACGGCAGAAATAGGCGGGGTGGTGGTACCTACCCGTGCGGACTCTCAAGAGATCCTGCCACCAGTAGAGTTCGACTTTAGTGGAAAAGACAACCGGATTGATCTCTATTGCAAACAGATACCATATACATATTATGCGGTATTTATTTTTAGTCATGTTAGGGTATCATGCGATCCCACATAGGTTCGACCTATTTCAGCCTAGAAGCAGTCTGTTACAGATCGTCGAATGATTACAAAATATATTGTGACTTCGACCACAAAACATTTGTATCTATTAGTCGTATTTAGTCGTATATACCTACTGTTTTTTTAGAGATATACGACAAAGGGAAGATCTTCCACCGAGCGGATGATATTTGCTCGGTAAACTGACGGTCCAAATGTTGTTGTTCGGAACTTGTATATATGCAAGCTTATCTTGAAAATGTCGTAAGCGAGATTCAGGCGTCTGTCAAATATCTTGCGTTGTATGATGGCTACCGCCACACTGTTATTGATGAATACGCAATAAAATAATAACAATAATCTTAATCGGTAATAATATTGAGGGACACAAAACTTTGAAATGAAATTCAAATATCAAACAACTTCGTATATTCCCTTGAAGGGCTTAATAATCCAAACCAACCATCACATCAAAGGAGGGAAACTAACATTTTTTTGTTGATATTCCATGAATATTATCAGCGGTACGGTAATGGGATACGTGCTTCGACTCAGTATTATAATATATTATCATACACGTGTTCACCAGACCGTGGAGGTGGCAATATCGATATAATCTAGCGTGAAAAACACATGAGAGCTATTTATTTAGAGATGTTTTTTTTTACTGTTTTGAATTTACGATTTTTTTTATTGCTTAGATGGGTGGACGAGCTCACAGCCCACCTGTTGTTAAGTGGCTACTGGAGCCCATAGACATCTACAACGTAAATACGCCACCCATCTTGAGATATAAGTTCTAAGGTCTCAGTATAGTTATAACGGCTGCCCCACCCTTCAAGCCGAAACGCATTACTGCTTCACGGCAGAAATAGGCGGGGCGGTGGTACCCGTGCGGACTCAGAAGGGGTCCTACCACCAGTAATTACGCAAATTATAATTTTGCGAGTTTGATTTTTATTATACGACTAGCGACCCGCCCTCGCTTCGCTTCGGAAACATTAAAACACACATGAAAGAAAAAAAAAATAAAAAAAAATAAAAAAAAGTAGCCTATGTTCATCAGGGACAATGTTGGCTTCTAATGGAAAAAGAATTTTTCAAATCGGTCCAGTAGTTTCGGAGCCTATTCGAAACAAACAAACAAACAAATCTTTCCTCTTTATAATATTAGTAGGTATAGATGTTATTCCTTCACCGTGGAAGTCAATCGTCATCACATCATTCGCTAAAATAAAACATAGAATAACAAATACTCAAACGATTATAGGAACACAAATAAATTTATTCACTTTAAACAAACTCAAAAACCGTAATAGACATCACATTTCTTGCAGCCCGTCTTCCTCATAACCTTCAAAACGTCTTCGTATTTCTGCTTCAGATTCAACAATATTATCGTGTACCGCAGCATATTAAGGTACATCGCGCGCTCTCTGATTTCTAACTCCGAAGGACTTTTACCTTTCCTTCTGACACTCGAGTGACAGAGGAAGCCTCCATCCAATATCACGAATTTATAGTCGCGCAGACACATTTCTAGCATCTATGAAAACCAACAATTTAAAAAAAAACAGCAAAAAAGGGTTCGATAATAACACTCCAAGTCGAAAAAGGGTGGGAATTCTATATCAATATTACCAAAAATATTAATTAACTAAATTACCAAATAAAAACATTATAGAGTATATTTTTAGTAAAATCACATAGCGATAGGGCATGACGAGTGCCTGCACGAGTAACAACCTAATTCTGCCGCTAAGCAGGCATGCATTCCAGTTTAAAGGGTGGGATAGCCCTTAATTAACATTGCATGTCTTGAATCAGGTTCCACTTACAAACTTTTAGGTTCCGCCGCATGAAGATTCTCACGCTTTAGAATAACAAATGGCTTAGCGCATAAGCAATGGACACAAAAATTTCAACATGTTACCTAAACAATCGTGGACACACTTAACGTCTTAATAACTTTTAGATATAGCTCAGAAGTGGGACGGATCCAGTCTGGAGCATACCTCTTTTATCATGAACGTAAAAAGAAAGAAAATTAAATAATCATTCACCTGTGGCATTTTATCCTGACGTCCCTCCCAAGAGAGCATCTCGCTGTACCAAGGCTCCTTGTGTGTGCCAAAGTACAAAGGCTCCCATCTGTGGTAAGGGTACTCCCTTCTCGCGATCAGCATCGGCTATCCAAACAAAGTTTTTATACTTAGCACTGCTTACAGCAACCTCGATGTATAAATTTAATTAACTGATGGTAGGACCTCTTGTGAGTCCGCGCGGGTAGGTACCACCATCCTACCTCTTTCTGCCGTGAAGTACTAATGCGTTTCGGTTTGAAGGGTGGGGCAGCCGCTTTAACTATAGTTGAGACCTTAGAACTTATATCTCAAGGTGGGTGGCGCATTTGTGTTGTAGATGTCTACAAGCTCCAGTAACCACTTAACAGCATGTGGGCTGTGAGCTCGTCCATCCATCCAAGCAATAAAAAATAAAATAAAAGTACACCTTATTATAACATCTGACATCAAAACAAAATATATAAGAAACGTTATCCTAAATGCAACCTCTTCGAATTTAACGATAAGAACCCGACCTCGAAAAAGATCGGGTGCACTCTCCTGGGTACTATTTCGAAATATGATACCAAACGTACATTCGAGAATCATCGACTAAGGCCCGGACGCATATGTTCATATGTTCTGTCCGTATTCTAACACTTGGCTTAGAAAGTGATAGAGAAAATTGTCGAAAAATCTCTTCTAAACTGAAACTTTTCTGAGATGCACGTCAATCTCCGTCTTCTCAGAACGGAGGCTAGTTCTTGTGAATTGGCGGTAGTTCTTTTGACGTTCAACAAGTATGTACTTTCATTTATGTTGAATAAAAATTTTTTGAATTGAAATTTTTTTTGATTTGATTTGATTTGATTTGAATCGTCAATGCGTCCTATGCGTCCGGACCTATTCAGCTTTTAAGTAAAATACAGCGTTAGAGGGAGAGGGAAGGCAACCTCACCGACTCTCTCATAATCTCAAATATCTTTCAGAACACAAAATACATATATTTCAGCTCAGATCGAATATCAATCGTTATACTTGGTTAATGTACCTCAGTAATATAACGAAAAAGTGATACAATCAAAATCTAAATGTATTTTAGTTGAAAATATATTTTAAGTATTTCCCCAATGAGGCAACATTCCTAATCCACCGTACTCTAAATCTACCCAAAATCGACAACACTAAATAATAATAAAACAGAAACTTTAAAAGCAATCAAAATGCTAATAACGTTATATATAAATACGTTTTTTTCTGGTTGATCTGCCTGGTTATCTTTTTCACGCATACTATATTTAATATACTTTACGGTAAACCCACAATTGAAATGATTCGAACGAAACCCTTACATGTTGAAATTGGTTAAAATTTTTACGGTCTACAACGCTACTGTGAAACAGTCGGATAAAATAACGTAGGTACAACGAAAAACAAACATGTAATACAAAATACCTTTCGATCTAAATCGCAATCAAACATTCATGGAGGCTCGACACGATACGTGACGTCTGTCGTTAACAAGTCACATGCCGCCTCCGCACAGAGTCGCAACTAAGGGACGTGTAAGGACACAGATCTTTAGAATACGCTCGTGATTCATTTAAGACAAGCCCTCCTTCAGACTATTCTTGGAGCTTACGTTGCCTCCCACTTACGGACCTCGGGGTATATTCTAATGGCCGGCATATCGCACTTAGCTTCTTATCTTGCATATTTATCTTTTTTTTATGATTGAAAGATTACTGGTGGCCCGGAGGCCTTTCCAATTTCACCAGGACAGGTAGGCGAGCAAAGGCACAGCCAGGAGGGGCGAGATTTACTAAGAGCTACCCGAGCGCCTCCGAAGCAAACCTAACAACTCAAGAGCAATTGCTTCACGAATAAATCTACTACCGGATCGGAATCGCGACCCACTGAGAAGATCCGACGAGAAACTCAGCGGATTGAAGCATGGGTTAGGTTGCACGTCGACCTCTTTGTCAAGTTCGACGAGTTCGGTTACCGGGGTTCCTAAGCGTATTCCTAGTGCATAATTATCTGTCTGGCTATATGTCATATTGCGACCATACGCTATCCTATGCCTTTAGCGAAGATAGAGTTACCGCATATGAATCTCCTACTTATCCAAGAACGCTTAATATATTCAAACGGCATTCTCCTATTACAATTAAATTAGCAACAATAACGAAATGAATAAGCATACTAAGCTATTCAAAATCCAATTTACTATCAAATTTTAGTATTGCAACATTAAATTTCACTCAGACAAACGACAAACCCCACGTTCTCCGAGTACGGCCACGTCAATTTGTCACGTGACACTTGTCGATTTACGAAATCGAACCATTTTCTATTTGTTTCGTGTCGTTTTGAATAGCTACGCCCTAACGTATGTAACGGTACATTTAATATCGTGAACCTAAATCGATATTGATGCAATTTCTTAGTTTTTTTTTTAAATTAGTAATGACACTTTGCACAATCTCAAGGTTTTTTTCTCCAGTTTTATGTGTACTGAATACAAGACACAGTAAATGCCTAAGCTTTACTGGTGGTAGGACCTCTTGTGAGTCCGCACGGGTGGGTACCACCACCCTGCCTATTTCCGCCGTGAAGCAGTAATGCGTTTCGGTTTGAAGAGTGGGGTAGCCGTTGTAACTATACTTGAGACCTTAGAACTTACGTCTCAAGGTGGGTTACGCATTTACGTTGTGCATGTCTATAGGCTCTAGTAACCACTTAACACTAGGTGGGCTGTGAGCTCGTCTACCCATCTAAGCAATAAAAATTAAATAAAAAATGCAAAATTTATTCACCAGAAAATATTTAAAAGGCAAACAGGCTCCGGCTAGGAATCTAACCCCACACCCTAAGCTGATAAACCAATGAGGTACGCAATTTCACTATTTTAAGGATATAACCCTACGATTACAGTTTAGTGTTTATGTTCCTTATCTCGGAAATTTCTGAAAACAAGAGACACTATTTCCCAAACAAGCTCTTGCGGTTAACTCATATTACACAAATATGTAGCCGGTCTTCGCATTTAATAAATGTTTTTGTACAACTGAAATATTAGAATTATGACAAAAATACTTTGTAGTCGTCGTGGCCTAATGGATAAGACGTCTGGTGCATAAGTGTTGAGGCGATGCATCGATGTTCGAATCTCAGGCGGGTACCAATTTTTCTAATGAAATACGTACTCAGCAATTGTTCACGATTGACTTCCATGGTGAAGGAATAACATCGTGTAATAAAAATCAAACCCGCAAAATTAAAATTTGCGTAATTACTGGTGGTAGGACCTCTTGTGAGTCCGCACGGGTAGGTACCACCACCCTGCCTATTTCTGCCGTGAAGCAGTAATGCGTTTCGGTTTGAAGGGTGGGGCAGCCGTTGTAACTATACTTGAGACCTTACAACTTATATCTCAAGGTGGGTGGCGCATTTACATTGTAGACGTCTATGGGCTCCAGTAACCACTTAACATCAGGTGGGCTGTGAGCTCGTCCACTCATATAAGCAATAAAAAAAAAAAAAAAAATACTATGGCTACAGGTCGATTTTTATTACTGGATGGAATTATTTTATCTTACTACTTGGAACCACTATGTTCATCAAGAGTACGTTTCCAGAGAAGATTCCTGCCATTCACAATGTACCTGTAGTATGAAATCATATCCACAGTATTTGCTTCGTTCAAACGAGGTTTAAAAGCATTATACTACTGGCATCTATGAGCATTGGCTACTCAATAACGGAGAGGCCATAAGCATGGTCGTGTCGCAGATGATGACGTGGACCATCACATCTCGTGGAGGTACCGTTAATTTCCACAAGCTATCAACCGCCGCTGCCCTTTTAGAGCTCTATCTCAGTACGGAAAGTGGACGCTGTTCTATAAATGTGACAAAGAGATTTTTTATTAAATCCAACTCCCACGTACCACCCCACAGCCCTAACACGTGGGTTGGTAATTCGGATAGTCATAATCTCGATCACAGAAAGTTAATTAGAGCCAGATGGTAAATGTGTGTTTTGTCACAAATACCTACTATAACGTCACTAATGATACACCAACCATACACAAACTGCTATCTTGTTACAAAGAAGTATTGGATGATCTCTTCCTTTCTCTGTTCCTCAAAGGGTATGACTATGACAAGCAATTCTGCAAGCAAGGTTTCATAAGAGTCCCTGGCGGTAGGGAACGGCTTAGATGTTCCTCGCACTTTGCAAACGTTCATGAGCGTCGATAATAGCTCAAGATTAAACAGACCGTAAAGCACTCAAGAAACTCGTAGAAGAACTTGAACTAATAACTGAGGAAGAAAAAAATTATAACAAAACATTAAGAACCCCGGATCAGCCAGTATTCACAGTTCAAAACCACTTGAAGGAGACAATTAGTTGAACCATTACTCAACTTGTCTAAGGCACAATTCAATCAACTCGAGTGACATATAAACTAGGTCAGTACTTGGGAAGGAATTATTTTATCAAGAAATAAACTTCAAGGATTCAATTATAGTCACATTTGAGCACTGCTAATTTCTTAGGGTATCAGAGTCCTAGAGACGTGATATGAACTATCGGAGAATTCTTTTATAGAATAAAGAATAGCATAGATTGGCAAAGAAGCTTACTGTCCGCCTGATTCTTAGGGGGAACCGACAAATCAAATGTCTGTCTCAAATAGGGCTGCTAATTATAGTCCGTCTATAGTTATGATATATTATTTATTATATAATTATATATTATACACATTAAAGCTCATCAAAATAACCCTCAAGTAGGTACAAACGACAATAGAAACAGTTGTCAGTAACATAGTCCAGATTAACATATTTCCATGTAAGTAAACAAAGTTGCAAGGCCTGCAGCATAATTAGAAAAAAATTTATTTGTTTAAATTTTAATTGGAAAAATACTTGGCAGATTTTTCTCCAAACATGCTATAGCAATTAAAAAAATCATAAATTTCACGGCATAAAATATCACCCGGCATCTACAAAAACTTGGAACTAATGCTAGAAAATAAGTTAGCGAATGTGTCAATTTGCTAATAGACCTTATATATTATGTACTAGCTGTACCCGTCCGCTTCGGTGGATATTTAA